CTGTATAGAATGTAAATACAGTATGTACATCAACGGGACCTTGAGACCAATATGCTTCTGCTTGCATGTTTTAAGCGCATACATCCTTCCCGGAACTTAAATTAAATTTTATTGTTATTAAGGTAGCGGGACTATTATAAGCATACTTGTTTTCATCTTCTAATTGTGACCAAATGACTACAAATAGACCCAGGAAAGTATATATTTTTAGAATCGCCATACTTCAAGCTTTTCAAAGGTGTGTCATGCCCGTATCTGCACTCTACGGTGTGTTACTTAATCAAAAGTGAAAAATTACTTTTTTTGTAAAAAAAAATAACGCATTTATGCTGGTGATAAGAAGTTTTGTTTTTCACTTTTCTTAGTTGTTCAATAGTCTTGTAAATTGAATGTGTCTGGTCAGTTTTATTCAAGTAACGCGTTTTGAAAAGTAGTGTCCTGAATTTTAATCTGAACTTTTGAATTTTTGTCCTGAACCCCAACTCAAACCACAACACATTGGTAAATAATCCATGAAACAGTTTGTCTGGACACATTCAAGTTCCTCTCATTGTCACCTTAAAGCTGTGAAAATTTGGTTTTAATCCGACGACAATAAGTATAAGTTATTTTTTGTTAAAGACCTTGTATTTTGAAAAACATAAACGTTGATGAAGTCACAGCAAAGATTTTCAAGCTTGTTTATCGGCACAATGGATTAGTTTTCCCTACAAGGTCTGTTTTAACATGTCTAGGGGCATCCAAATGTGTAAGGCTATTGGAAACCAAAAAATAAAGGAATGGGATAGCTATAATTCGATAAAATCGGCAGATGAAAACACTAAAACCAATGATTTTTTTTAGTGGCTGTGTGACCTTGTGTCTAACACATTCATATGCAAATGACTAATCTGTGAAATAAACAGGGGCGGAGACAAACCACTCAAATGTTTGGAAACACTCATTGTGTATCAGATAGCTACTGATAACACATCCTAACATTGCTTTGTCTTGAGTTAATCTTTGAAACTTATAGGCACACAAATTAAACCTGTGTTGTTGATTTTAGAAAACACTACTGAAGTTGCCTTGCTTCCCGTCAGAAAATCTACATTTTAACCAACTTACATGACATTTTAGTTACGTTGACTTTGTCAGATGAAGTTATAGTGCATTTCATCAATATAATAATGTGAAATCGTATTTTCAACACAAATAATAGTCTCGCTACCTTAAGTTCATATTATTACGATCATTGCGAC